AGGTCTACAGAGATGCACACACAGACACGCACACTAATATTACACACACAGACACACACTGATATTACACACATCATAATCATCATCATCACCACGTGCCTGCCTACGAGTAGCCGTGCAAATCTGCGTGTGTGTGCGTGTATGTGTGTCACACGCACGGAGCACACGTGTGCACGAACACACACACACCGCGGCAGGGCCGTGAGATTTCAAACACACTGACGGCTGAGTTTATGCGCTGGCCTGGCCGGAAATCTTTTTCCAAATAAACACAGATTGTCACTGCATGGGTGGCCTTACCAGCCCGCCCGCTCGCCCGAAACAGCGGCGGGCGCTGTGTGCCTGAGTGAGTGAGCGAGTGAGCGTGAGTGAGTGTGAGTGAGTGTGCGTGAGTGTGAGTGAGTGAGTGAGAGTGAGTGAGTGAGCGAGCGAGTGAGAGTGAGTGTGAGTGAGCAAGTGAGCGAGTGAGAGTGAGCGTGAGTGAGCGTGAGTGAGTGAGCGTGAGTGAGTGAGCGAGAGTGAGTGAGTGTGAGTGAGCGTGAGTGAGTGTGAGTGAGCGTGAGTGAGTGTGAGTGAGTGTGAGCGAGTGAGAGCGAGTAAGAGTGAGTGTGAGTGAGTATGAGTGAGAGTGAGTGTGAGTGAGTGAGCGAGAGTGAGTGTGAGTGAGTGAGTGAGCGAGAGTGAGTTGAGTGAGCAAGAGTGAGTGAGCGTGAGTGAATGAGAGCGAGTGAGTGAATGAGAGCGAGTGAGTGAGTGAGAGCGAGTGAGTGAGCGTGAGTGAGTGAGCGAGAGTGAGTGAGTGAGTGAGAGTGAGTTGAGTGAGCAAGAGTGAGTGAGCGTGAGTGAATGAGAGCGAGTGAGTGAGTGAGAGCGAGTGAGCGAGAGTGAGTGAGTGAGCGTGAGTGAGTGAGCGAGAGAGAGTGAGTGAGAGTGAGCGAGTGAATGAGAGCGAGTGAGTGAGCGAGAGCGAGTGAGTGAGCGAGAGCGAGTGAGTGAGCGAGAGCGAGTGAGTGAGCGAGAGTGAGTGAGCGAGAGAGAGTGAGTGAGCGTGAGTGAGTGAGCGACATAGAGTGAGTGAGAGTGAGCGAGTGAATGAGAGCGAGTGAGTGAGCGAGAGCGAGTGAGTGAGCGTGAGTGAGTGAGTGAGCGAGAGTGAGTGAGAGTGAGCGAGTGAGCGAGTGAGTGAGCGAGAGCGAGTGAGTGAGCGTGAGTGAGCGTGAGTGAGTGAGCGAGAGTGAGTGAGCGAGAGTGAGTGAGAGTGAGCGAGTGAGCGAGTGAGTGAGTGAGCGAGTGAGTGAGCGAGAGAGAGTGAGTGAGTGAGAGTGAGCGAGTGAGCGATGTTTTTAAACACAACCAGCGGTTGGGGTCGCCTCAGACCCGACCATCAAAGACACCGGACGGTTCAACTGATGTCTCGAACACGGTCACTGGTCGGGGGAGACGACGCGTGGGTTGGTGAGAGAGAGAGAGGAGAGACCGGGCCGCGATGGGTGACGGTCGGTGAGGTCCTATCGCTCTCTGCCTCTCAAGTTCTTCGTCAGCTCGGTGATGGGAGGCAAACTTCACCGCGCGACTCCGCGAGTTCCACGTGGACCCCCCCCCCCCCTTTCAGGGTTGTTGGAGCCACCTCGCGACTGGCTGTGATGTGGGTGGGGGGCACAGACGGCGGTGGTGGTGCTGTCAGCAAAGAGCGCGGTAGGCGGGGTGGCGGGGGGCTCACCGCACACCTGCGCCGCGCGCGCGACTCCGCGTGGCGCTCCGACCCCCCCCCCCCCCGCCGCTTTCCACGCGAGCGCTTCTCAGCTTAGACCATAGATGGCTTCGTCTGAGCCCCTCTCTCGTGTGGGCGAGCAGAGGGGAGGGATGGAGATGGAGCAGGGGGAGACGGAGGGGTGCTGGAGGTTTTGTTGTAATTACCTTGGGGCGAGCGACGCACGCACGCACGGCGGCGGAGAGAGAGCGGAGAGAGAGGGGAGAGAGAGAGAGAGAGAAAAAACGGTTGTTTATTGTTCACTGTTGATTTTTCTTTCCGTGTTGTGTCAACACGAGGGCGAAACACACGGGGCGAGATGTTTAATCTGAAGCGGAAAGCAAAACAATGACGGGTGAAGCGCCAGGCGCGCCGCTCCGCGCACCACAGCGCAGGTTCCAGGGCGCGCGGCCACCTCCTCTCAGCGACTCTCCAGAGCCAGGACAGAGACCGCGACTCTACAGAGCCAGACAGAGACCGCGACTCTACAGAGCCAGACAGAGACCGCGACTCTACAGAGCCAGGCAGAGACCGCGACTCTACAGAGCCAGACAGAGACCGCGACTCTACAAAGCCAGGCAGAGACCGCGACTCTACAGAGCCAGACAGAGACCGCGACTCTACAGAGCCAGGCAGAGACCGCGACTCTACAGAGCCAGACAGAGACCGCGACTCTACAGAGCCAGGCAGAGACCGCGACTCTACAGAGCCAGACAGAGACCGCGACTCTACAGAGCCAGACAGAGACCGCGACTCTTCAGAGCCAGACAGAGACCGCGACTCTACAGAGCCAGGCAGAGACCGCGACTCTACAGAGCCAGACAGAGACCGCGACTCTACAGAGCCAGACAGAGACCGCGACTCTACAGAGCCAGACAGAGACCGCGACTCTACAGAGCCAGACAGAGACCGCGACTCTACAGAGCCAGACAGAGACCGCGACTCTACAGAGCCAGACAGAGACCGCGACTCTACAGAGCCAGGCAGAGACCGCGACTCTCCAGAGCCAGACAGAGACCGCGACTCTACAGAGCCAGGCAGAGACCGCGACTCTACAGAGCCAGACAGAGACCGCGACTCTCCAGAGCCAGGCAGAGACCGCGACTCTACAGAGCCAGGCAGAGACCGCGACTCTCCAGAGCCAGACAGAGATCGCGACTCTCCAGAGCCAGACAGAGACCGCGACTCTCCAGAGCCAGGCAGAGACCGCGACTCTCCAGAGCCAGACAGAGACCGCGACTCTACAGAGCCAGGCAGAGACCGCGACTCTCCAGAGCCAGACAGAGACCGCGACTCTACAGAGCCAGGCAGAGACCGCGACTCTACAGAGCCAGGCAGAGACCGCGACTCTACAGAGCCAGGCAGAGACCGCGACTCTACAGAGCCAGACAGAGACCGCGACTCTACAGAGCCAGACAGAGACCGCGACTCTACAGAGCCAGACAGAGACCGCGACTCTACAGAGCCAGACAGAGACCGCGACTCTACAGAGCCAGACAGAGACCGCGACTCTACAGAGCCAGACAGAGACCGCGACTCTACAGAGCCAGGCAGAGACTCTCTTTCTCCCTCTCACTGCGAGGCTGCAGTAGAGCCGTGGACTCGTGGATTGTGAGCTTGAGACGGTGTTGGTCGTTGGGACGCCCCAGGCGAAAGTCATCGAAAGCCCCCGTGGACTGATTTGATTGATTTGATGGTCACGGTCCTCTGGAGGAGTTTGCGGACTCGAGAGGAGGCTGCGTGGAGTGCAGGAATGTGGGCGAGCTCGGGAGCAAGTGAAGGAGCCGAACGAGTGAAGGAGCCGAGCGAGTGAAGGAGTCGAGCGAGTGAGTGAAGGCGCAGGCGAGCGAGTGGAAGATCCGAAGCGACTGGGTGAGTGTGGTGGTGGTGAGTGAGAGATCGAGCGAGTGGTTCAGCGAGCGAGTGGCCGGCGTGGTTGAGCAACCAAAGCGAGTGAACGAGTTGCCACGTTGGTTGGTGGCGGTGCATCATCAACCCGACCTGCGACTGCCCTTGCCAGTGACTGAGCGACCTCTGAACGAGCAGGCAGAGCGGAGTGACCGCGCGGGTTGCGCCAACGCGAGTCTCGAGCAGACGGGGAGACGACCTCACGCCACTGGCAGCGTGGAGAGGAGGCGAGCGAGTGGCCGGCTGAGTGACCGACCGACCGACCGACCGACGGACCGGACCCAGCCCACGCCGCCTCGCTTCGTCACCGCCGACGATGTCCTCCTCCTCCTCTTCGTTCGTGTGCGGCGCGAACCTTCACGCGCTGGCCGAGAGCCTCTTCCTCTACCCGGGCTCCCCGGCTCTCCTCGCGGGCCTCCACGTGCCGCCCGCGCTGCAACGCGGGTGCAGCAGCGGAGCGGCAGCAGCAGCAGCAGCAGCAGCGGCAGGAGGCGCCGGAGGAGTCGGAGGCCTCGGCTTGGGCGGCTCGGCAGCGAAGGAGTCCCCGCAGAAGCCCCCCTACAGCTACATCGCGCTCATCGCCATGGCCATCGAGAGCTCCCCGGAGCGCCGCGTCACACTCAGCGGCATCTACCGCTTCATCATGGCGCGCTTCCCCTACTACCACGACAACAAGCAGGGCTGGCAGAACTCCATCCGCCACAACCTCAGCCTCAACGAGTGCTTCGTGAAGGTGGCGCGCGAGAAGGGGCGGCCCGGCAAGGGCAGCTACTGGACGCTGGACCCGCGCTGCGCCGATATGTTCGAGCACGGCAACTACAGGAGGCGCAAGCGCAGGGCGAAGGCGGCGGCTGCTGCTGCTGCTGCTGCAGGAGGAGGAATGGCTCCCTGTGTTGGTCGGGGCCCCTTCGGCAGGGATGGAGGGGACGGCCCCGGAGACCCGGCTGACGGGAGCTCGGGGGAAGGGGCCGGGGGTCGTCACCACCACGGATGCCCGCCGGGGCCGCTTCCCGTGGCGCCGACTCGTGATGATGAGGACGACGGCGGTGGCGGTGGTTCCTCTCGTGATGCTGGTGGAGCCGCTGGTGGTGAACCCCAGCCGCTGATCGCGATCAAGGAGGAGGAGGACGACGGAGCGGCGGACGAGGGCCTCGTGCTCGGGGCCCCGAGTCGCGGGCCGCGCGGCGGCGTCTGGGCCACGGCGCCTTCCTCGGGCCGCGCTGACCCCGACCCCGACGCCAACTCGGAGCCCTTCCCCGCCAACAGGGACCGAGGGGACGCGGCTAAATCCGGGCGCAGCGGCAGCGGCGGCGGCGGCGGCGGCGTGGGGGGCAAAGCGGCTCCGCGCGCCGCCGCCGCCGCGGCCGCCGCCACCGCCGAGAAGTGGAGGACTTTCAGCATCGAGGGGATCCTGTCGGGCTCGCGACCCCCGTTCGCCGCGGACCCCCCGCCCAGGGGGCCCGTGGCCACCGCGGGCTGCTGCGCGCTGTGCCGCTCCCTGTCCCTCGCGCCGCTGCCCCCCCCGCCGCTGCCGCCGCTGCCGCCGTGCGGCTTCCACGCGGCGGGGCCGGCCCTGCTGCCGGCCTGGCTGGCGCCCTACGGGGCCCCCTACGGACTCCGCGTCTCCCTGGCGGGCGGGGCCATGTGCGCGCCGTGCGCCCTGCACCCCGCTTGATGGGGGGACTCGTCAAGTGCGTTGACTGGGGACGCTCCCCGTCACAACCCCCGCGACGCGTCGGTGTGCCGAGGACGCACGGCGACTGCGAGGCGAGTGATGGACGTGAGCCCCCCCGCCCCCCCTGGAACTAAAGCAGTATCGCAGTAGTGGGAGTGTTGTTGTGATGAATTCTGTCTATTCACAAGCCTCACCGAGTCTCAAGAGTCGGTTTCTAAGAGCGTCCTGCCAGCGACATTTGGGATGTTTGGCCAAGTCGGCGTTTTTTTTCACTGAGCAGAGCCGCGAACTCCAACCAGAGGCCGCCTGCTCCTGCGGCTGCGGCTCACGAAGACGACCCTCGCGACCCTCACGAGGGACGCGCAGGCAACGGTCTCGACGCGTGGCCGTCGTGAGGACGCAGACACGTGGCTCGTTCCGAGCGCGTTCCGCGGCGCGGAGTTGGGGCCACGGCGCTCGCCACCCCCCACCCCACAGCGCGCGACCCCGACTCGGGCACTCGGTGCGAGCGCACGGCACCCTGGGGGCACGCCGCACGGCACCCTGGGGTCCCCTGGGGGCATCGAGCAGCCGCCACCACCACCCAGAAGTTCTAGCGAGCACTCAGCCTCGACACCGAGCAGCAGTACCGCCTCCTGGCATCATCCGAGTACCACAAACCACACGGCACCACCCGGCTAGCCTGCACCACGACCCAGCAGACACGCGCATTAACCATCAATGACCCAGCATCACCCAACACCACACCCGGCACCTACCGCGACCCCCCCTCCATCTCCGTCACAGTAGACCCGAGTTGCGGATAAAGCGGCGCATCCCCCCCAGATGTGCGGCGCGTGGTGGCGCCTCGTGAATGCCGCGACACAAGAGGGCGAACTCCCCCCCCTCTCCCCCCTCGCTCCTCTCTCGAGCAACCGCGCTCGTAGTGGGCGCGTGGCGGGCTGCTCCCCGATCGGCGAGGAGCCGGCCACTCGGTGCCCACGTGATCGCAGACGCTGCTGCTGCTGCGATCCGGTGATGTGGGGACTCTCTTCTACTTCCCGCGGGCGTTGAGGAGGTCCCGTACCGCTGGCTCGCCAGGAGAAGGTGGTACAGCAGAGTGTGGACTAATCGCCATCTGTTTCCATCTGTACGGGGATAGAGTGTTGCCCTCTCGCAAGCGCGGGGCTTCTCCGGGCGATCTCGGTTCCCCCCCCCACCCCCCACGTGTATTAAACAAGGGGACCGCCTCGACATTAATATCGCTCCCCCCCCCGCACCGATTCGCGTTCACAGGGCGCACCCCGCGGTGGTGCTGGTGGCGACACACGACGCAACTGCTTAACACAATGACCACGTGGTTGTTGTTGCCGTTTATAAACTTTATACAGATTCTATATATTATATATATGTGTGTGCGTGTAGAGAGACGAGGACAAGCATAACGGGTTTCTCTCTCTCTCCCGATGGATGCGTTTTTTTTATTCCGATGCTAAACGTGCGGTCGGTCGGTCGGTCGGTGGATCTGTTGTCAACTCCGCTCGCCGCGACGCGAGCGGCCACAGCGCCGCCGTGCCGCTGCCGGTCTGTACCGGGCAGCTGTAACCACCGCTTCATCAAAGTTACGCAATAAACAAAACGTTACCAACTTCTTACGTGCCCCCCCTCCTCCTCGTGCTTCCTCCTCCTCCTTCACCCCGCTTTGTTCCTGAAGGAACGCGCCGGATAATAAGACCCCCCCCCTGCCCCCCCAACGGGTGCCTAGCGTCAGTGACAAGTCACACAAATGCGGCCACGTGCACTCCCACGCGCGCGGCAACCGGAATACTCGACGCATCCCCACAAGTTCTGCTCGACACAAACGGGGGGTGAAGTGCGCCGTGTCATCTGGGGAACACGGCGGTACGCCGCAGCGTGCTCCGGTCGCGCCGCGAGCCGCTCGGTGCGATGCCCGACGTTTCGTTCCACGTGCCGCTGGCAGGGTCTTCTTCGGGAACGGAATGAAGGCAAAATGAAATCCCGAAGAAGCTCCCAAGCGGCACGTGGGAGCGAAACGTCGGACACCGGGAGTTGCAAACCCCCAAAAACGCGCCGTAGAGCGCGCGACTGGAGCTCGTTCCTGCCGTCAAGAGTCAACGGAACGACGCGCGGATCGCCCCCCCCACCCCACCCCCAAATCCAAGCAGGGACGAGGCCTGGGCAGCGCAGCGACCGCCACCAGGCATCGCGCAGGGTGGCGGCACAGGCCGCTGCGAGGCCACGCGGGAAGGAAGCAGGCGGAGCGAGGCCACCGGTGTCGCGGGGAACTTCGACGCTGCCAAGTGCGGAAGAGGCCAGTGGCCCCCCCCCCGCTGCCCCGAGCGCGTGGATCGGAGGTCGCTTGAAAACATCTCGGGAATGGTTTCTTCGGTATCCGCTTCCACGCTCTGCCACCGGAGCCGCCGTCACTCACGCGGCGCGTCCCTTCAAGTTCACCGCGAGTAACACGCAGAACGCACGCGGTCACGCGGTCTCACCGTCACAGCCAGCGCTTCACACGGCACCCAACACATCCCGGGTCGCCGGTGACTCGCTGCAGCCACCGCATTCATAGCGGGAGGGGGGGGTATACTAGATGTGGTGTGCCGGGTGTGTAAATATATTTTCACCGTTTGCCGACCCGGAGAGAGGCGGCTGAAACGAAGCGCTGGCGGAGCGACGCGAGGCCTCACGGCGACGCTGCGGGAGCCGTGGGAGCGGGGGGGAGGGGCCAGACTGGAGGGGTCAGGTCAGGTCAAGGGCAAATGGACGTTACGTGACGTCGTTAAACTGGGACCGACTGCACTCCCACAAAGGTCTGGGACGCCGCTGGGTCGTTGCGTGGTTTGATCCGGGGGGGGGGGGGGCGGCCTGAGGGGTGCTCGGGGGGGGGGGGGGGGGGGCACGGCTCGAGTCCGGGACGGCGTTTTCTGAACAAATTAGTGACGAAAATATTCGTGGACAAAATGTGATTATTTATTTTATTTGAGCCAACGGTATGGAACCCCTCGTCGGTCGGCGTTAGCGGTCAACCGCGCGACCCCCCTCACGCCGAGACGCGCGACACCGTTCGCCGTCGCGGTCAGCCACGGCGGCACGTTCGCTGCCAGATGAAGGCCCTCCCAGAGCCGTCGCCGCCTTTCGCGACTCCGCGGCCACCGGTCCGCTCGGCCGCCCGCTCGGCTCTCCAGGCGGCGGGGGGCGGCCTCCGGCGCGGGGTCACTCCCGCGGCTGCCGCTCGGACCCCGTTCCCGGCGCAGGTCTCGGTTCGACTCTGACCACAGGGTTCTCTCCCGCTGGCGCGGGCAGCCGTCGGCCACGCCGTGTGCAAGCGCCACGCGCCGAGCCACGGCACCGCGGGCTGGAGACCGACGTGTGGGACCGTGGTGTCCGCTACCGTGGTGTCCGCTACCGTGGTGTCCGCTACCGTGGTGTCCGCTACCGTGGTGTCCGCTACCGTGGTGTCCGCTACCGTGGTGTCCGCTACCGTGGCTACCCAAGTGCTCTGGTCCCCCTAAGCCGAATCTCTCCTCTCCTCCCTCGTAGAAAAATAATCCCCCCCAACCCCCTCCATCGTGGACGGCGCTCATGTCCCTTCGTTGTCCAGCACCTAGAGAGGGACTTCCACTCGGACGCTGCACTCACTCACACACTCACTCACTCACACTCACTCACTCACTCACACTCACTCACTCACTCACACTCACTCTCACTCACTCTCACTCACTCACACACTCACACACTCACTCACACACTCACTCACACACTCACTCACACTCACTCACACACTCACTCACACACTCACTCACACACTCTCACTCACTCGCACTCACTCTTCCTTACACAGACTCACTCTTCCTAACACACACTCACACTCTCACACACTCAACACAAATTGTTGTTCTGCACCGGGATCTTGAGGGAATGTCGTAGCCAAGCTCCTCCCCACAGCCCCCCCCCCCCTCCTGCACCCCCTCCCGTCCACCCCCCCCAACCCTTACAGAACCCCCCTGCCCCCCACCCTACAGAGTCACTCGACTCACCCCCCCCTCCCTCCTCAACTCCCCCTCGGAGGCCAGCTCCCTTCTACACAACCCACCCTCTAACACCCCCCCCGCCTCTCCCCACTGATCCCCACCTCCCCCCCACTTTATTCTGGAACCTCCTGCCCCCCCCCCCCGCTCCCCCCCCCCCCCCGCTCCCCAGGGGTCTTCACGCGTTGGGGTTCTTCTTCATGAGCTCCATGTCAGCGCTCACCATCTCTTGCACCAGCTCCTGGTGGGGCGAGCGGCGAAGTGAGCGTCGTCACGGAGACGATGACAACAACAACAACAACCAAAAAGACAAAGGTTCCCCCGTGTGGCCTTACCAGGCTGTTGAAGCAAGTGCTGTCAAGAGCGCCTATCAAGGCCGGTGATGTGGCCGTCACCGCCTTTGTCTACCCATTGCCGATGTTGTACACACCACACCAGGTACTCATTGAAGACCAAGTTGACTTAGGGGAGGCCCGCGACCGGTTCAGATATTCATCACTGACGTTGGCCATGAGTCGAACTCGGGTCGCTGGGGATGGCGACGTCACGCGCCGAGCTGACGTCACGTTCGCCAACTTTACGGGAAGTCACCCTGGACCCAACGGGGCGCCCCCTAACTCCCCACTTGGGCCCCCCAACTCCCCACTTGGGCCCCTGCTGCCCCCCACGCCCCCCCCCACCAGTCTCTCCCCGCTCCTCCTGCGTTTCATTCTCAACGCGAGCGGTGGACGAGGACTCACCTCGAAGGTGACGCGCGTCGCCCAGCCCAGCTTGGCCCGGGCCTTGCTGCAGTCGCCCTGGAGGAAGTCCTGCAGGGAGACGCGGGGCGGTGAGTCGCGCGGCGCCAGCGGACGACGAGGCGCCTTACACCGCGGCGCAGGGCTAGCGGCGCAGGGCTAGCGGCGACTTCGGCGCAAACGATGGGCCGCAGTTTAAACCTCCCTCTCCTCGCCCCCAGTGCCTGTGCACCTCCACAACACCCCCACCACCGCTCCTCCACCTCCGATCGCCGCCATCTCCCCCGCCGCCCCCACTCACCACCTCGGTGGGGCGGTAGTACTTGGCGTCGACGCGCACGTGCACCTCCCCCGTCTCCTGGCAGCGCCCGACCTCTTGCAGGCCGCTGCCCTCCCACACGATGCTGCGGCCCACGCAGCGGAAGGCCCGCTCCACAAACTCGCGCACGCTGTGCACCTCGCCCGTCGCGATCACAAAGTCGTCCGGCTCCGGCTGCTGCAGCATCAGCCACATGGCCTGGGGGCGGGCGAGAGGGCGGACACGCCGGTCGCTCGCACGCCTCGGGACGGCTTCTCCCAAGCCAGCGGGGGGGGGGGGGGGGGGGGGGGGTTAGGGGCCGACGGGGGTGGGCGAGCGCGGCCGCCCGCGGTGCAAACGGGAGACGGGGCGGGGGAGAAGCCGGGGGGCGCCGGGGTTGGCGGGTGGCGTGGGCGGCAGGGGTGGGCACCTCGATGTAGTCCCGCGCGTGCCCCCAATCCCTGCGTGCGTCCAGGTTGCCCAGGCTGAAGCAGTCGAGCTGGCCCAGGTGGATCTTGGCGACGGAGCGCGAGATTTTTCGCGTCACGAAGTTGGAGCCTGCGACGAGGTGAAAACGACGATTTTAGATAACGAAGGCACCACCACCACGACGACGATGGTGATAATCGTCATGATAACAACTACAACTGCGGCGGCGTCGTTAGCGTCTAACGAGCGCAACTTTGTCGTGCGTTCACCATCATGGACGATGACCGGGGAACTGGGGCCAAAGTTTGGGCAGTGAAACAACGGTTGAGGTGGTGTCCAGAGCTACTTGTCAAGCCAAGCACTGGTAGCCACAAGTTATGGGTCAGGGTGGTTGAGAATGGTGGTGTGGCCGAGGTAGCGGTGTGGTGGTGTGGCGATGTAACTGGGTGGTATGGCCGGATGGTGGCGTGGTTGTCCGTGTGGTGGTGTGGCAGAACGGCAGTGTAACCGGGTGGTGGTGTGGCCGGGTGGTGGTGTGGCCAGGTGGTGGTTTGGCCATGTGGTGGTGTGGCCGGGTGGTGGTGGTGTGGCCTGACCCCGTCGAGGACTCTCGTGGTTGAAGAGGATGCCGTTGCAAGCGTACATCCCGTAGGCCTCGCGAAAGTTCACGACGATCCAGTACGCGTACAGCTTGGCCGCACCTGCACGAGACAAAGATCCCCCGCGTAGTCTTAACACTGTTGGGGCAAGTGCTGGATGACCAGCACCACGCCCGGCTGCCTTTATCTCTCCGGCGCTGATGTTTACACACCGCACCAGGCACTAATTTAAGGCTGGGTCGACCTCGAGGAGGCCCAGAACCGGTTCAGATATTCGCCACCGATGTTAGCCGTGGCCGGAATCCAATTCGACCGAGCGATGCTTACCGAGTTCGTTGTCATTCACCGTACATCTCAAAAATGTTCACAGCAGCTGGCCACAACAACCCCTTCCACCAGGCCCCACTGACCAGCGTGGTGAAGTATGGTCAAGCAACCTCCGTGCCCGACATGGCGTTGGCGGGGGGGGGGGGGGTGGCGGGTGGGGGCCGGGGTGCTCGTCACGCGCTCGGCGCATCGACCGACCCCGCGACTA